TATGTATGTCTGTATGTATGTATATAATTATGTATGTATGTGCGTATGTATGTCTTTAGTATATACGTACATAGGCAAGTACGTGTGTATCTTTGCAGGCGTTCATGGACAGATGTGAGGCAATGCAAATTAGTGCAAGATAAACGTAGTTCAATGTGTAATATATTTATGGACAGAGCAGTGCATATGCTGAAAAGAAGTTTTAGAACGGCCCCTAGCAAGAAGTGCCAAGAGCCCTCAACCATCAGGCCTTTGCGCCAACTTTCCCGAAGCAGAGGTCCGAAAAAAAAACTACTGCAACCTGGAGTAGCTCAGATATGGTACCCTACTTGGAGGTTCATGGGTAGCTATAGGTGGGGTTCTTATAAGTACGGTAACTATTACTATAACCCATAGTAGGGGACTTATAGCTCCACTTATAACTACCCATGAACCTACATCTTAAACCCTAAACCTGAAACCCTGAACCCTATACCCTATAGTACCTTTAAAGGAACCCTACATGAACCTCCAAGTACTTCAGCTATGGCTAAACCTTAAACCCTAAACCTTAAACCCTAAACCGTAAACCCTAAACCTTAAACCCTAAACCCTAAACCCTAAACCCTAAACCCTAAACCCTAAATAATGGATGCTCTGTAGGATGCCTGTGAGACCGTCACGAGGGAGCGTGTTCCAAGTGAGGGGTTCCTGGGATTTTCCAGGATCCCCAGAAGAGCCATCCGCGATGGTTTAGGGTTCAGGGTTTAGGGTTTAAGGGTTTAAGGGTTTAGGGTTTTTTAAGGGTTTAGGGTTTAGGGTTTAGGGTTTTAGGGTTTAGGGTTTAACCGTTTAGGGTTTAAGGGTTTAGGGTTTAGGGCTCAGAGGAGCCATCCGCCAGCTCCCAGCACCCCGTAAATCCCGGGCCCCAAGCCCTAATCCTGCAACCCCGCTCCTTGACTTTAGACCGGGAATAATGGGAGCCTTAATATACATATATATATATATATATATATGCATATATATATATATACCTATACATATATACACACACATAGAGACAGATAGATAGATAGATAGATAGATAGATATATAGAAAGATAGATAGATAGATAGATAGATAGATACATGGATAGATAGAGAGATAGATAGATAGATAGATAGATAGATAGATAGATAGGTAGATAGATGGATAGATAGATAGATAGAGAGATAGATAGACAGATAGATAAGTAGATGGATAGATTGACAGATACAGAGCCCCTGGCCCCTGGCGAGACTTTGAGCCCTGCCGATGTTTCGCAAACCACAAACGATCCCACTTCCCAAGATCGATTCCATGAACTAAGAAGATGAGGTGGACAAGAAGATGAGGGCGACCATGGCAGGAACGGTTGGGGATTTGAATGAACAAAAGCGTATATTACATATATACCTCTATATATCTGAATGAACAACAAAGGTGTATATTATATATATATATATATTCCTCTATATATATATATATACACAGAGCACGGGGCAAAGATTCTGTATGTTGCGTGATGTGATAGGTACATGCACATATGTATGCAGCCCCAAAGCAGTTCCAGGGACGGTGGGCTGTGCTGGCCTTGTCGCCCAAGGTCCAGCGCTGCTCATTGAACCTGAGCCCGTGCTGGGAAGGAAAAAAGAAGATCCTCGTTACGAGCTCCCTGTTGTAGGGCTCATAGGGTTTAGGGTTTAGGGTTTAGGGTTAAGGGGGTTCATAGGGTCAAATTACTAGGAAACCCCAAACCAAGAAGAAGTAGAAAGGCATCCCGAACACTGACCCGGGAGCTCCGGGAAGGAGATCAACTGATGTCCAAGGGCACCCAACGTAAGATCCGGCTCCCAGAAGTAGAAGAGAACATCATGCTGGGAGACCAGATTCACGAAACTTCGTCCTGCGTCGGTGGCCCCTAAGGCCATGGGCATGGAAAACGCGATGGCCTTGGACATCAGCTCCTCCACACCGTAAACGTACCCCTGAGCACTCCCCGCCAGAGTCGGAATACATTCAGAGGAGTTGTGCCTGCAGGCTGGGGACAGCCACCAGTAGCCATCCGGACACTTGGGCACGGCTTCTGTTCCAGATATGTTCACCCCATCAAAGTCGGCCGTAAAGTATAGATACCGCCCAATGTCCGGAAAGGCGCCCCTCCAAGTGGTGCAAGCGACCAAAAGAGACTTGTGAATGGTCTCCAGGCTCGAAAACCATTCTTTCGGGTTCCGATAGTTGACATCGTAGTTCCTGTGATGGATTTGGTCTTCTAAGCAACAAGCCGCGCTTCGAATGTAGGATGCTGACGACCCAAGCCAAAGTACAACACTACAAGGTGAAAGCGGCCAAAAAGAAATAGCTCTTTCAGAAAGCACCCAGCAAGAAGCCTTTCTGAGAGCTTGCCGAAACTATGGGATCCCGAAAGTAGACCCGCGAACATCAGGATCCAAAATCGTAAGGGTCCCGGAATCAACTAAGCGGCTCTATTTGTAACGGAATCCGCTTACCGAACCCAAAAGATACTTCCGGCCCTAAACCCTAAACCCTAAACCCTAAACCCTGGCTTCCTATAGTCGTCGAGAAAAACTCTCTCCACCGCTGCCCTTTCCAGCGAGGCCCCGTTGACGTAGAGCCCCGACTGTGAGAAGAATCCTAACCTCAGCTTGTTTCGGGATAGGGCTGTCATGCCTCATAAGTTTAGGGTTTAGGATTTAGGGTTTAGGGTTTAGGGTTTAGGGAAGAATGCCGAGCCGCTGCTTTGAGGGGGAATAACAAAACGAGAAAGGTTTACAAACGCACCTACCACGTAACGAAGATAAGTCGTCGAGCACGCCACCCATCTTGAAGCGCTGCACTCTGTCGAAGTGCGGAGCTACCTCTCAGGAGGCTTCCGAACTCCAAATCGGCTTGAGCTTCAGCTTCAACATTCTCAAAAGCCCTTAAACCCGTAAATTGCGGCCCAAATGCTTGAAATCGTTGCAAGCAGCCCTATGTAGTTAAAGCTATTCTATTCTCGCTAAGTAAGCGACGTGTTGGGTGCTCTGACTCGGCGCCAGCCACAGTGTTCTAGGTTTAGGGCTTCAGGGCTTTGGGTTTAGGGTTTAGGGTTTAGGGCTTCAGGGCTTCAGGGCTTCAGGGCTTAAGGTGTAGAGATTGGGATCGAACTAACTGTCAGAGCCGAGCCTCTGGTTGGAATCCACCAAAGAAGGCTTCAGTTCAACCCCAAATGCCTCCAGGTCTTGAGTTGGTTGGGGCCTGGGGCTGTCTAGCTTTGGATGCTAACCATGCAACTCCTGACGTCGTCTGAACCTGCAGGCTTGCGGGTGCCTAAGCCCAGAAACGCCAAACCCTAAAAAACGGTACCTCCAAACCCTAAACCCTACAACCTAAACTCTGAGCCCTAAACCCTAAACCCTGTACCTCCAAACCCTAGCAACACCCTGGACCTACGAGGAGGCTTGGGTTTAGTTGGGTTTAGCGCTGCAGGTTCAGGGGGGATTCTCCAAGCACCTCCTCGTCGAGGTAGACCCCGACCGCCACATGCATCCTCGTCTCCTGCTGAGGTTGAGTCGCTTGGGCGTATGCCCGTTGCTCTATATATATATATATATATACACATGCACATACATGTGCATACATTCACCTCTGCATGTTTGCATAGTGTTTATAAAAACAGATGTATACATAATAAATAGATGAATACAGTAACATACAGATGTGTATAATCTACACATATGTACTAGTTCGGCGGTTTACAAGCTGGGGCTTAGGATGTAGAAGAACCGTCAACATGAGCGACAGCACTCCACCCCCAGATCTGGGATCCCTAGACGAAACCCGCAACCCTCAAAGCAACCCTGTAGAAACCCCCTTTCCTACACGTCACGCTCTGGACACCCCGTGACCCAAGGGAAACCCCTAAACCCTAAACCCTAAACTCCTGGCCGTGGCATCCTCGATTGAGTGCATTCGTGGGGTTCTCACAGCCGGCCACGGCATAGAGGGAATCCTGCGCCAGCAACGAGTTGGCGACCTCCAGAAGTCGTGGTTTGGGGTTAAGGGTTTAGCGGTTTAGGGTTTAGGGTTTAGGGCGGTTTAGCGGTTTAGGGTTGATATGGGGTTTAGGGGTTCAGGGTTTACATAGGGTTTAGGGGTCTAGGGTTTATGTACAGCAAGCCCCCAAAGTTGGAAACCGGATTAAGGACAAACAGTGCTGGGATTCCTTATACATTACTCTGAAGGATCGAGGCTATTGGGTTTCCAACTTTTGGGCTTCTACTAGAGGGTTTAGGTGGTTTAGGGTTTTTTTTTGACCGGACCTTTTCTCCTCGCAGAGAAGTCTTACGACTGGGTCGTTGCCTAAGCCTCTCTCGGGCGGGTTTAGGGGTTTAGGGCTTCAGGGGTTTAGGGCTTTAGGTTTTAGGGTTTTAGGGTTTTGGGGTTTTAGGGTTTAGGGGTTTAGGGTTTTAGGGTTTTAGGGTTTTAGGGTTTAGGGGATTAGGGTTTGTCTGAGTTGTTGGGTGTGGGGCTTCAGGCCGGGTAGCTCTAGGCTTTTCGGGATCTCTGGAATTTGGGCTTAGGGAGTACAGTAGGGTGTGGTCATATTTCAAGCGGTGATCCAGGCTAGATCTAGAGCTTACTGAAGCTTCACGATGATGGATTGGGGGATATTTGGGTTTAGGCTCCGGCATGTTCATGATTTCAGGCTCCTCTTTCGTTCATGATTTCAGGCTCCTCTTTCAGCGGTTTGCGCTTCGAGATGCTGTGGCTTGAGGAAGCAGGCATTCAAGCACTTTTTCGGATCCTACGACTGTAGGGTCTTGGCGCGATGCTTCATGAAAAACCTAGATACTCTGGATCAACAGTCATCCCACAGTCTACGCACTAAACACCGGATTTAGCGAGAGCCACCTCCAGGCGTACGTTGTAGCCTAAATATTCCTCTGCCAGGATCTGGAAGGCTGCCGTTGGGGTCGCCATCTGCCACTTGGTCTGCCCATTCCTGGGAGTTCGGAAGGCTTGCCTAAACCCTAAACCCTAAACCCTAAGTTCCCGGAAGCTTCAAAACTTGAGAGCCCTTCAAACCTGCTCCTTCAATCCACTTAAACTCTTGCAAGAAGGACGAGACAAACCCCCCATAGTAACCCGTTTCCTAAAGCTTGAAGGTATACCCTAAACCCTAAACTGAACGCTCAAGCCTCAGCCAGGGCTCCAAATGCCCAGCGGGTAGCTCGTGCCATTGGTCGTCAGGTTTTTGCGCTGCTGCCGCGGAACCGCGTCATTTAGACATGTCTGGCCGCCCAGCCCCTGGCGGGTTTGGCGAAGTTGAGGGCTTACGACCCTAAGCCCCAAAAAAGAGAAAAGGACTGAACGCTGGACCTATTTTTGATGTGTCGGGGGGTCACCACTGTTGTCCCGATACCTATTTCTCCCTCTGGCGGAAACGGCATCGGAAATAGGTGGCACGCATCGTCAACCCCCCCACCTAGTACCCTTGCAAGGGGGTCCCCGTCCCTGAACCCTAACAGCATCCTCGCACTTCTGTCGGAACGTTGAGCTTTTGCAACCAGACAGCCCGCTCCAATCCTAATGGTGGCGCGCATCTGTGCACGGAACTCCCGAATACCAAGGCCCGCTAAACCCTAAACCCTAAACCCTAAACCCTAAACCCTAAACCGAATTCAGAGTGAAGGGTTCGGGGCTTCAGCGGTTCAGGTTTCAGAGGTTCAGGGCTTCAGTTGCAGAGCGTTCGGGTTTAGGGTTTAAGGTTTAGGGGTTTTAGGGCTTAGGGGGTTTAGGATTTAGGGTTTAGGGTTTAGGTGGATCTGATGGCAGTCTGAGGCACCAAGGCTGAGCAAAGCAGCAGGGTGAGCCCTAGAAACGCCGCTGGACTGCCTCGGGCGCGGGACCGCCGGAGGAGCTGCTTGTACGGTTCAGGGTGTAGGGTTTAAGGTTTAGGGTTAGGGTCCAGGGTTTACGGTTCTGGGTTTAGGGTTCAGGGTCTGGGGTTTAGGGTTTTCCCGCTCATGTAAGAAGGTTTCAACACGTTCCTAGCCCTGGCTCAATGCCTTAGTATTTTTGGAGGATTGGCCGTGCGGAGTGGGTGCCAAGGGCCCTGTCCATGCGGGGCTGTAGAGACGTCGTAAAGGCTTTTCAAGCTTTCAGCCAAGGTTCACGGCGATTGTAAGTGAATTTCTAGCTAGCACAATATTCTCCAATGCACACAACTACACCCTAAACCCTAAACCCTAAAACCCTAAACCCTAAACCCTAAATTAAACCCTAAACCCTAAAACCCTAAACCCTAAACCCTCCGAAGAGATGGTGGGAAAACCGTGTCCCCTGAGGCACGTGGAGTAAAAACCCCACCGAAAAAGGAAAGCCCCGAAAGCTGGCAGTAGCCAGAGACTCCAAAACCCCTTAATTAAGGAATAGACCTTAAATCATAAATAGGGTTTAGGGTTTAGGGTTTAGGGTTTAGGGTTTAGGGTTTAGGGTTTAGGGTTTAGGGTTTAGGGTTTAGGGTTCCGATTATAATTTAGGGTATATTCCTTAATCAAGGGGCTTTGGAGTCTCTGGGTAGCTACGGCATACATCTCTAACCCTAAACCCTGAAAAACCAAACCCAGATCACCCTAAACCCTAAACCCAGATCACGCTAAACCCGAAACCCCTAAACCCAGATCACCCTAAACCCTGAACCCTAAACCCTAAACCCAGATCACCCTAAATCACCCTAAACCCTAAACCCCAAACCCTAAATCCCGATCACCCTAAACCTTAAACCCTACACCCCAAACCCTAAACCCCCATCACCCTAAACCCTAAACCCTAAATCCTCATCACGAAAACTGCGACCCTTCAAGGCTCCGACCGGCCATGCCGCGGCCAAGGGCTCGCCATGTGCCGGCGATCCGTGGCTCCAAATTCTTCGAAGAGTTCTTGAAAAGTGGTACTGTAGGGGGCTGTAGAGGTCTGTAGAGGTCTGGGCAGAATAACCCTAAACCCTAAACCCTAAACGATTCTGAGGTTTGGGATCGCATGGTCTTGTTCGGCGCTGCTGATACAGCTCCAGAGCCGGCAGCGAATCGCCCTCTTTGTCGAGCTCCGGCACATGGAGCTTGTACTTAAAGGATCATGGGGCTTAGTAACTAGGGCTATAATTAGGGTAACTATACATATAACCCCAATTAATTACGGGACTTATAACCTTACTTACTAAGTCCCAAGCAGATCATGAGCACCGTCCCTACCTGGCCAACCCTGACGCCGTCGCAAGGAAATGAACCAATGCTACACTACGCAACACTACACACCGGGTAACTCTCCATCCGTCGGAGTTGGCTCATGCAGTGCTGATCGCACCCCGACACCTTAAACCCTTAACTGCCAGACTCACATATCTCACAGCACTATTGCTGACTGTGCGGTGTTGTAAGGTAACTTGCTCATGACCTGGAATACATAGGACTTCGTTTGATAATCCGACTGATGATGCTGCTGATGATGATGATGATGATGATGATGGTGATGATGATGATGATGATGATGAGGATGATGATGATGATGATGACGATGATGATGATCATGATGATGATTAAGACGATGATGATGAAGATGATGATGGTGATGGCGATGAAGACGATGATGGTGATGACCATATTCATCATTATGGTGATGGTGATTATGATGGTGATGGTGATGGTGATGCTGGTGATGCTGATGATGCTGAACATGCTGCTGATGCTGATGATGATGCTGAAAATTCTGTTGATGCTGATGATGATGATGATGATGATGAACGGCATGATGAAAACATCATGATGATGATGATGATGATACTGTTCACCAGCATCGCCATGATCAGAATCATCATAGTCATCTTGATCATCTGCAGCTTCTCCACCTGGATATGCTGTAGCATGCATGCAGTATCTCGGTATGTCGTGTACAGAGTATGCAGCCGTTGATGAAGTGCCAAGCATGCGCATCAACTTACGTACATATACATGGACGGACAGATGGAGACAGAGAGAGAGAGAGAGGGAGGGAGGGAGGGAGAGGGACAGAGATGGTTGGGTGGACAGATATACAAATACTGGCGCCCTGTCTGCCGTTTTGAGGTTTAATTTAATTCCCTTCAACTCCTTCATGATTCGTCATCACCCACATATCCGAGCAAGAATCAGATGAAGGTGCTGATGGGATGGCCTTACCCTAAATGTCCCTATAGACCCTAAACCCGGAGTGACCTCATGTGTCCATGGCTCCTCCTCCTCTGCTCGACGCGATCCCACCATAATAAGGTATAGTAAGTATAGTACAGTATAGTATATTCCCCATGGCTAAGGACCATAATAAGGTATAGTACGGTATTATCCCCATGGCTCAGGGTTACTCCGATGCCCACAGTACCCTCTTTGTACCCCTGCATCCCCCAGGGGTCAGGCCGGCACCCGGAGTTCAGCCGGGCGAGTTTGTGAAGTTAGGGTTTAGGGTTTAGGGTTTTGGGTTTAGGTCTTTTTTGCCATGCAGACCTCAGGGTAAACATGGTAAGAACGAACTAAAGCACGGGTAGCCAGTGCACCTGCCATGCAACATAAACGCGAGTCCCACATCCCGGGAGCTGCGCGGGAAAAGATGGGCTGAAAAGCTCTTCAAGCCCCCCTCGTTCGAGGGGTGCTGGGAGTCTCAAGGTAGGGTTTGGGGGCTTTAGGTGGGTTTTGGGGTTCAAGATTTAGGGGTTTAGGGTTTAGGGGTTTAGGGTTTAGGGTTTAGGGTTTAGGGTCTAAGGTAGGAAGCCTCGTTGCCTTGGGCAGCTTCCAAGGAGCATTAGCGCAGTCTGTAGGAGCCCGGCGGCACGAAGCCGGCAGGGAACTTCTTGAGTCTCATGTCTGGACGTTCAGGGCTGGCTGGGGTACATCTGGATATGCCCGGCTAGGTATACCAAAGATCGTCGTGAATCGAATACTCACTGTCTTGCTCCGCACTGCCCTCCTTTCGCAGCAGTCAGTGTGTCAGCTTTTTCAACATGCGCAGCACTCCAATCTAGATCTGCCTCCCCCCATGATGCACATGCACTCGGGCTCCTGGTCAGGTGTGGTTGCGGTTGCGGTTCTCGCATCGCCGTCAGCGTCATCGAAGCCTGAAAATCAACACACAGCTACCAGAGGCCCTTCCTATCTGAGTCCCCAGATACCATGCAGAAGACATGGCCTTTGAATACTCAAGAGGAAGACTCAGGGTATGGGCCATGACGGCCATGAACAGATTTTGCCGGTCACCGCCTGTCAGGGACATGGAGATGTCAGCGACGGTGACCTCGTCGGCGGTGGTGGTTCTGTTGGTGGACTGCGTCCTGGCGAAAAAAAAGCACCCTGCGGTGCAACCCTGGGCTTTTAGGGGGTACACGGACCAGCCTTCGCTCGACGAGGTCTTCCAGGCTTCCGAACCTTTGGCAGATCTGCATCACCTGCCTGCAGGGCCAGAGGGTCCACAGAAAGGGAGGAAGGAAGGGGCCATGTTCCCCGAACGCCCCAGGTACCCACTATAAAGGGTACTAGCGCCCCTAAGGCCCTATATAGTAGACACCTGGGAGGGTTAGGGTTATGTAAGTGAACCCCGCACCTCTCGAGGATTCCGCTGGAGGCGTGGGGCGTCAGGGGCAGCGCGAGGATGCCCAGCAGCGCCTGCCGGCAAGGACGGGTTTAGGGTTTAGGGTTTAGGGGTTTAGGGTTTAGGGTTTAGGGATTAGGGATAGAAAGCGATTTAGAAAGGAGTTGTGGCACAGAGGAGTCATCGGCTGGCCTGGTAGGCCTTTGCTAAGCTGCGCCCAGCATTTGCCCCGAGCCCGGCCACGCCGCCCTCCTCCACCTGAGGAAAACAATCATACCTACATCTAGCCGATCTAGCCCACAGCACTGCGGCTGCAGCTCTCGCCCGCCTGCATGTAGAAGTCCGATGGCGGGAACTGGAAGGTGCCGTCGTTCACGGGCACAAAGCTCAACGCCTGAGCTCCTGACAGGCGCGAAAGATCCTGGACATGTCGCACACCGTCCCTGCAGACCTTTCTTGAAGCTGCTTGCCGCCGTGGCACGCATCTGCCCGATCTGGAGCGCGAAGTCAGGGTCCTCGAGGACCCCCTGGCTCAACAAGACCAGCGCGAAGGAGGCGCTGCTGGCCGCCGCGATGTCCTTCAAACTCCGAACGCGGAAGGTGGCGATGCGGAGCTGCTGCTGCACCATCTGCTGCAGGATCAGCCTCTGCAAGCTAGCTTGCAAGGTCAAAAAGAGATGACGGGCTTCCACTGCCGGCAAGGCGCACGGTGGAGATGGCCTCGGGCTCCCGCTCGGTGGAGCAGAGCAGGATGCGCGCGCTGCTCACGGAGCCCTGCGCCGCCACCTCCGCCCGCCGAGCGCCTGGTGAGGGAAAGAGGGAAAAGAGTGCCACACTGCCCGCCGCGTGCCGCATGCCGCATGCCAGGTGTTCCCCCCCGCCTCGCAGCACGGCAGCGGCCACGTCCAGCACCAGCCGTTCCTGCTCCTCCAGGCTGCTGTGCCGGCTCAGAGCATAGCCGTCTAGCGTGCTGATGTGCCGGTAGGTGGCCTCTCAGGGCACCGCACATTGCACCAAAAGGACGGGAGCAGAGATCGCAGGCAATCGTCCCGCCTTGATGTCCTCCATGGCGATGCCGTGGCTCGTCAAGGTGTATTGTTGCTCCTCGGTCCACACGGACTCGATCTTGTTGATGCAGTCGTCGTCCGGGAAGGCGAAGCCGTCGCAGTAGAGCGGGATGATGGGGATGCCGTACTTTCGAGCGCTCGTCATCTCCCCTGCACACCACATGCCTGGCGCCCGGAGAAAGAAGCTTAAAGGGGTAAAGAAGAGGGGCACATGAGAAAATGACTCAGAATGACAACTGAAACGATGGAAGGGTGAACTAGATTGCAGCACGGGTACGCTGCAGTAGCTCGGGCGTGAGCACGGCCACGACACAGCGGGTGTCGGAGCTGACAATCTCGAAGATGCGGGCGAGGTCGTCGAGCTCGTCGGAGTCGAGGAAGATGTTCATGCGGCCGTACTTGTGCACGATGAGCTTGAAGAAGCGGCACAGGGCCCCGGCACCCGCCTTGTGGTGGCAGAGGAAGGCATCGTACTTGCTCTGGGGTCGCAGGCGCACGGTGACGGCCAGGCCGGCTGTGAAGAGCGCCGCCAAAGGCAAGATGCAAAGCACACAGGCGAGCAGCACCGCTACGAGGAAGCTGGTGTCCGTCTGGTTCAGGCGCAGCAGCGGAGATGCGAGGAGCAACAGGATCAGCAGGGCGGTGGAGAGGACCAGGTCGTTGTAGTTGGCCACCTTGCCAGCACAACAAAGAAAAACTGACAAGATGTGAACCTAATCCCTGTCATTGCAACCATGCGAATCCCCTGCGGGTGGCTCTGCGACTGAGGTGGCAGCGTCGATGCGCCAAGGCCAGAGCAGGCTTTGTGAAGTGAGCTTCATGCAGATGACGATACCCATGATGCCCACCTGCAGGGCGGGCGTGGACACCAAAGCTGCGGGGATGAGGGCCACGATCATGTTGTGCGCGGAGAGCAGCAAAGCGTAGTAGTAGCGCTCGGGTCGGAAGCGGCCGAAGAGGAACTTGTACTTCTCCAGCACCTCCAAGCCTCCACCAGACCGAAGCCAAGTGGGATACTTCCACGTCAGGAAGGCGATGGTGGAAAGTATGGCCACAGGGTAGGCGAGGATGCCCAAAGAGGCCAGAACCACCAAAGGCCGATGCTCCGGGCTCCAGCAAATGACGTCCGTGCGTGTGGACATGGTATGCAGGCCGTTGGGGTTTGGCCGGCACTGGAAGGGCCGCATCACGGTGAGGGACATGGCCGTCAGCAGTGCCACCAGCAGCACGCCGTGTAGGTTTAGGAAGGAGTTGAAGCTGATCGGCCGTTTCACCCACCTGGCGAGTAGCCAGAAGCCGGCGGTCCCGAGCAGCACCACCGGGTAGGCCAAGAGCTGAGAGCCGTACTCCACGACGTGGCTCTGCGGATCCAAGATGCAGGAGAACTCGATGTCCAAACTGAAGATGGCCAGCGAGGACAAAACGGCCTTCGCGGGGTCGATCCAGGAGATCTCGAATTGATAGATGGCCTCACAGAGTGCCAAGGAAGCAACTTTACAATCTGTACGCATGCGAAGCTAGAAATTCGCTTGAAATCACGCCTCGAGGGACTGGAGGCACACCACCAGCTGCCCGAAGATCACGCAGACGATGAAGATGCTGACGGCCACCCGCCGCGCTCGGCTCATGAGAATGCTGGCTGCGACTAGCAGCGGCAGCAGGCCCAGCATCACAATCGGAAGCAGGAGGAAGGGCCACAGAGACAAAGCATCGCAAGGCCGGCAGGAGCCGTCCACATCGGAGGCATAGCCACGAAAGCAATCGGCGCAGGCGCGCCCGGTGCGCCCGACATTACACTGTCCAGGCTCACCAGCTGGACATCGCGAGGCGTCGCGGCAAGAGAACACCGAATAGGAACTGAGGCCATCGGTGTAAGAATGCTCCACCCAAAATCCCGGCAGCTGCGAAGGGAAGGCGCTGCCCCCAGGACAATCCATGCCCTCCGGGCAAGGCAAGCACTCCGTGCCATTCCACAAATACCTTCGGGCGACAGATGCGGCCGAAGGAGGAAAGCATTTAGTGGTCCCCCAAACCCCAAACCCTAATGTAGGGGCTTAATTGTTAGAACAGTGTTTTGGCGCCCAAGAGAATTGGTGATTATCTGGGCCCTTAGATTACATGACAAAAGAGCCGCAACACATCACTCGGTCCGGCCTGTCAGTCCTGCAAATGCAGTCGAACTCACTGGTTGCAGCCAACACTGCCGTGGTCTTGCCTCCCTCACACTTCCGGCAGCTCGTCGCGCCGAACTCCGGCTGGTACTGGCCTGCGGAAGGTGCAAGCACCGAATGCCTCTCTAACTGAGAGTCTATGACAGTGACACAACAGGGACCCTAAACCCTAAACCCGAAGCCCTAAACCCTAAACCCTAAAAACCCTAAAAACCCTAAACCCTAAAACCCTAAAATCTCCGACCTTGCGGGCACTTCTGACAGTGAGTCGATTCCTCCTGGTCCGCTTTGTGGCCATCCTCGCAAAGGTCGCAGCTCACGGACCCGGACTCCTTCTGGCCTCAGTCTCTAAGAGCCTTCGGGTTTAGGGTTTAGGGTTTAGGGTTTAGGGTTTAGGGTTTAGGGTTTAGGGTTTAGGGTTCAGGGTTTAGGGTTTAGGGTTGTGGTTTTTTCGGGCACCCAACATCCATACATTTTGGGGGGGCCCCTGTATGATCAGAGTCGGGTTTAAATTGGGGGGTATAGTAAGGAACCCCCAAAATAGTATAGGCAATTATTAAGGTCCCTAGGTTGGGGGGTAGATTAAGGAACCCCCAAAGTAGTATAAACCCTAAACCCTAAACCCTAAACTCTAAACCGTAATAGGTCATGATGAAGGCCCCTTTTCTGAAGCTCGGCCAGGCGGCTGGTGCCCCGGCGGCAAGGACCTCAGACACTGCTTGGACCCTACCTTGGGGTTTAGGGTTTAGGGTCCTCTGTTTTGCACCGAGGCGCGGCACACCGCCGTTGCGCCAAGGTCGTCCTCAAGGAGCACAGAGTAGCGCCCAGCTGGGCACAAGCTGCAGGTCACAGTCGCATTCAGCGACCGCTTCGTCAGCCAGACGCCATCCTCGGACTATGTGGGTTTGCAAAGAGTCTAGAAGGACTGCAAGAAGTTGTTTAGGGCAGGCACTTGTACATAGGGCTTTATACTTGCATAAGCGGATAAGATGTGGGTTTAACCCGCTCAAATCCAAGGGGTTCCACCACTTATCGCCGTCAGATCATCGAGGGATTCCGTCGGGAATATGTGCATCCGTGTCTTCATCCTGATCCTCTACGGACCCCCTAAACCCTAAACCTTGAAAGTCTCTAGCACAAAAACCCCAGAAAGACAACTCTGAACCGTCTGAACTTCTCGAGCCCCCTGAGCCCAAAAGACCTACACCCCAACAACCAAAGCCCTGCACCCCAGCAGCCGAAACCCGAACTTCATCCGCGGACCCCGATTTAGGGTTTAGGGTTTAG